ATGTATATATATATATATATATATATATATATATATATATATATATATATATATATATATATATATATTAGGGTGTCCCAGAAATGCACGTAAATTTTTTTTTAATTAGTTGATGTCTCACCCTCTGAAAAGTGTCTCTTGGGTACATTAATTAAATTGGTGAAGTTACAGCTCATTTGGACAAGTTTGAGAGGTCCCCCAAGGGCTTTTAAAATTTTACTATCGAGTTAATTCAATATCAATAATTTAATAATTTTAATTATTGTTTAATTGTATAGTTTAATTCAATAATCTTAAACAATATGCACAAAATGAGTGAAATAAAGCTAGAAATGCAAACTAGTTTAATTATCTCACTGCAGACATTAATTATAGTTTAAAATATTATTAACAATTACCTGTAGAGAAATACTTTATTAGAGAATGCAAAAAATGTATATTTTTAATCAGTCAACTCGCTATGTTACTGGTGTTGTCAACGTAGATTGGTTACCTGTCCTGCTCTCATCACTTGTTGATGGCACTACAAAACTCCTTGGAGTTCCAAGGTTAGCATCTGGATTAGGACGAGCAGCTGCTGATGCAGTTCATGAACAGATAAAATCTTGAAGGTGTGAATCAATGGTTATTGGCATGTGCTTTGACACGACAGCTTCCAATACTGGAAAACTCAATGGAGCTTGCACTCTTCTAGAAAAAGCCATGGGACGTAATTTAGTATGGATGGCTTGCCGTCATCATAAGTTTGAAGTGCTGCTTGCCGGTGTATATAGTGTTTGTCTTGGAACATCCACTGGACCAAAAATTTTATTCTTCAAAAGGTTTCGTGAAAAATGGACAGAAATGAATCACACACCAGAAGCCAGATCAACCCCTTTGATAATTGTTTCAGATGCAATTAAAGCATTCATCAAATGTCAACTTGAAGTCAGACATTCTCGAGATGACTATTTAGAGTTTCTACTTCTTGCTGCACAAATAGCTGAACTGCAGGTTGATGTAGCCATTCGCAAACCTGGTGCACGGCACAGGGCACGATGGATGGCAAAATCCATCTACGCATTAAAAATTGAACGATTATTCACCGTAAATAAAACCATTTTTAACTTAAACAGCTCGAGAATTACAAGGTATTCAACGTTTGAATCGGTTTATCATTTGTGTTTATCTTCAGTCATGGTTTTCATGCAGGCTCACTGCTGATGCACCTGTGAATGATATTTTGTTGATACAGCGTTTGCATGACTATGACGATGCAGTTCTTGGTTTGACGATTAAAAATGATGCTGCGTCATTTTTGGTACATGAGTCCAGAATTGGCAAATCTTGTTCTTTTTTCATCTCTCCTGTATGACAAAGAAAAGACTGATCTTGTCCGCACAATACAAGCAGATGGAGGCCCACATCTGATGAAAACACTACCACAAAGTTTTGACAATTTGCGTGCGTCTAAAACATTTTTTGAAACATCTAATATTGATGCCAGTTTTTTTGATGTACTTGCTGAAAACTGGTCAGATACTCCTTCTTTCCAAGTTGCAGCAGTGTTTGTAAAGAATCTGGTTTGCATCAATGACTCTGCAGAACGGGGAGTAGCGTTGGTACAACATTTCAATGAAACAATCACCAAAGACGCAGAGCAGAAACAATTTTTGTTTCAAGTAGTTGAACAGCATAGAAAAAACTTTGCAGAATATAATCGTGAACTGCTAGCAAAAATTTGAATTATTTGCATTAATTAATATTCAAGCAAACTGAAATTCAATAAAATCTTGTTTTTCAATCATTTTTGACCTAATTTTTAAAATTAAAAAATAAAAGGCATTGCAAATTTATATATTTTTTCACAATTATATATTTTGTTTCGTTTGTATAAACAAATCATAAAACATTTATAATCATATCATATAACACTGTATCAAAAGTTGGTAGCGAACGATCAAACACCAAAATCGGAAACTTTCGACCCCTTGGGGGACCTCTAAACATTGTCCAAATGGGCTAAAATTTATCAGGTAAATTACTGTTACCATACAGACATATTTAATTGGGTGAGACATCAATATTTTAAAACTTCATATTTTTGGGACACCCTAATATATATATATATATAAGGATTACTCCAAACAGAAACTTTCATCCGATCATATTTTCGTTTTTGCCACACAAAATAGCTTGCAGATTCTGGCTTAATCAACCAGCCGAATGGTTTGCCGACGGTACGTTCAGAACTGTTCGAACAACTATACTCTATTCATGTCGTCCATTAAAACTTGGTCATTTTATGTGTATATGTTTTTTTGCCAATTAAAACGCGTGCCACGTATGCTAAAATGTTGCTCAAATTGAAGAACGTGCAACCTGGATTAAGACCGACATGTCTGATGACTGACTTCGAGAAAGCCGCCATGCAAGCAGGTTTTTAATTATCTATGTTTAGAAATGCAATTATCACTTATAATTTTATGATTTACAGGCATTCGACATCGAATTACCAGGAATTGAAAAAGTAGGTTGTTTTTTCCATCTATCACAATGCGTTTGGAGGCAAGTATAGATGGCAGATTTGAAGGTAAACATTATTTTGCGTTTTTGAAAATAAGTGTTACATAAAATTTTACAATACTATATTAAAAAATCTTATTTGTTGGCGAGGTACAAAGCTAATTACAAATTTGCCAAATGAAAAAAAATGTTGCTAGCATTTGTTGAGCCGAGTAATGTGGTCTAAGCGTTTAAAGAATTGACCGAAAATGACCAATATCCCGATGAAGCCATGCCAATTGCAAACTGTATTGAAAATACTTACAGCGACGTGATCCGACGTTTCCGAATGCTGTGTGGAATGTTTATCAGTGGGCATTAGATGGACGGCAACCCACCAATAATAATGTAGAGGGTAAGCATTATATCTGGGCTTTTGACTTTTCATCTTCCCAGAATTCGGTCCTATGATCATTTACAATGATTAATTTCCCACATCTAACTAAAGCTTATATGGTACTTATATGGTACCCGCCCATCTACCGTTTTATAGATTTGCTCAAAAAGCAACGAGCGACTTAAAATTATGATGCTGCTCAATCTCTCATAGGTAAACCCGGACTTTAAAAAACCAAAAAACCAGGCCATTTCACAGCTAATAAAACTTATAGTTCAAACTCCGAACATGAACGTTATTGATTGCTTAAGATGTATCGCTTACAATTTTGAATTTCGATTGTGTATTTTATTTTGTATCTTTTTAATTTTTTCAACGTAACTTAATAATATTTATGTAATGTAATATTAGTAAAATGCATTGGCATCAAACAGTCTATAAAATATTTACTTCAAAATTTTATGACGTGTTTTTCTGCCGCGCAAACTCGTCAATAATGAACTTAAGGTCCAATCCTTTCCAAATTGTTTTTCAATGCATAAATAGCAAGAATACCAAGCCTTTCTACCGACATTTTAGGACGCCAAAAATTTTTAACGCGCTTTAAACAAGGCAAACACCACTCAGACAGTTTGTTGTAGAAGTACAATTGTACATCCAAAGTCTACGTTTGGATATACGCACAGCAACTCATTCACTCACTCTCATCCATTTACAAAAATCAATTGGAGTGTTTAAAACTCAATTTTGGCCAAAAGAGGCCAAATAATACTTTAATAGCAAGTTAGGAATTTAAGGTGCCTAAATCGTTGAGAAATAAAGCATTAACTAACTTATCTTTAGCATCATTTCTTTCTTCAAATTGACTGAAAAAATTCATTAATCCGTTTTGGATTAATAAATCATTATACATAAATTATACATAAATCATTAATATTAATTCTTTCGCAATTTGGCACATAGGCTTCGAATTAATTATTTTATCTTCACTCATTTTTACTATCTTTTTTGAGACTACAAATATGGCGTTGACATGACCGGATGGCGAATTAACAAAAATTTGGATCCATCTAATTAACTATTGGCTGATCGGTTCATCAGAACGAATGACAATTTTTATCCGATTTTTAAGAGTTTCAATTAGTTAAAATTTAAAGTCACTATTTTTGAGTAGAGTAAAAATGTTAATAAAAATTTTTATTTAACTTAAACATTTTTGAAACATTGATTTTCAAAATATTCCGCCTCTCAAATTTGGCCCCTTATGGCCGGTGCCTGTTGTACCTGTGTGTAAATCTGTCACTGATTGTATTGAAACTCTTTTAAAACTATAAGCGCCTTCATCGAGTTATCCTCAAAAACGCTTTTAGTTTCTTCTTCTGAATTATTATTGGTGTGTTTGCGCCCTTTAAAAAGATCTTAAAGGCGCCAACGATTATTGCAGTACATAGCTTAGCACTTTACCAAAGCAATGCTATGAAAGGAGAGAAAATGACATTTGCACGGGAGAGCTTGGACTTAAAGATAGTGTTTCAATCTTTTACAAAATTTAATAACAGACAACGCAGGATCACGAAGGTTCCTAGGTTTGAAGGTTCTTAGTCTATAAAAGGCCAACCAAAATTCAGTCATGTTCCAATTGTTAACAAATCGATAACTTTCAGTTTTTTTGTTCACAAATTTAAAATTTCTATTTATTGAAAATTTAATGATAACGTTACCGAGAGTGTCTGGAAAAATTAGATGAAGATTAGCTAAATCTTTGCCTTTCATGACGAACTGATGATTGAAATGATCTACGAATGGGAACATTGAAAAGAAATATTGGATGTTCTTTCCTTGGATGTAGTCCAAATATGGTAGCTTTACATGTCTGCGCACGATCAATCTTACCATGCTGGTCGTCAAGTTTTCGTATATCAAGACATCATCAATCTTAATATTATTGTTGTTAACAACGGTTTCGTTGTAGCAACTGTTGTTTTTTGCACCAATTTTTTGATTATTTGTTTTCATCTGCACCATTTGACTGATTAGTTCAACGGTTTTTACCCATTCCACCATATTTTTCAGTTGTTTAAGGTAGCCAGGCATAACGAGTAGTTCTTGATTTTTCATTATTCTTAATTGAATAATTCAAGGTTATTAAAGCAATTTAGAAAACATCTACAAAAAATTTACTCGACTATATAAAATAAGTATGTATAAAGTATGTTTAATATTATCATAGAGATAAAAAAGGATACACGAATAATAATTTAAATCGTTACCAAGAATGGACAACAGAATAATTTTTAACTAAAATCAAGTCGAGCTGACAAAAAATGAAATTGTGAAATTTTTCAATAGTTTTTCAAATTTATTTAATCGTGCAAATTAATGATCACAAATTACAATTGGCCAAAACAGTATGTTTGATTAGAGTTGAATGCTTATAAACCAGAAAAAGTTCATTATTACTTCAAATTGTTTAGTTTAGTTTCAACAATAATTGATTAAAAACTTGTCGTGATTGGTCTTACGAGTTTCATAAAATTTTACAATTGTAAGTTAATTATTTTGAAACAAAACTAGAATAGGAATTTTTATCAAAAAATTTTTTTGAAAGCCTTTGTCTTTGTTCCTTTGAACTAATTAGCAAAACTTTTCAATTTTGTTTAAAAATCAATCAGACTATGCAAATATTTGACTGAAAATGAATAACATGAAAAGATAAATATATTGTTTAAAAACCAATTACAAATCTCCAATCCCCATTACAAAACTTTGAAATAATTTTTTAAAGAAGACCAAAGAAGTGAAGATTTTGACATTAGGTGTGTTTTAGAATGATGCAACAGATTGACAGAAAGAATTTAAAAAAAAAATTCCCATGAATAGCATAAAAATCATTTTGTGGCAGGTTCTTGCGTAATAGTAACACTTTGACAAAAAAAAAACAATTTCATTTTACCCAAGAAATGCGAATACTTCACAAATGGTCTCAAGTTGAAACTTGAAATAATTCCACCTAGAAAAAAATTTTTACCTTGATCTACGTAGAATAAAATCTTTCACCTTTTCTTGACGATCCTACTCTTTTCGTACTTCTTTGTCATTAGTTTTATCTAGGATTGATTATTATAACTGACTCTACTGTGGTCTTCCTCATTCTACACTCAACTTTTAAGTAAAGCTTATAATTCACAGCCTCAACTTTTTTTGTATATCTCCATATCTTGTTCTCTTGCACTGGCTACCTAAAAAACATAGAATAATTTTTAAAATTTGCAAATTTACACATGAAAGTAAAATCTCAATCTAAATTAGTTCTTAAATACTAATCAAATATGATAGTTAAACTAAAACTCCCGGTTTACGATTGTCTTCTCGTTGTCACTTCTTATTAACTCCGGTAAAACACTGTTGTACTAAATCTGCATTTGAAACACTTGCCCTTTTTCAAATCTTAAGACCCATTTGTTAGTTAAGTTCATTTAGAAACGCCGTTGAACTGTGCGGTAATAGCCCTTTATAAATTATTTGTTTGATGGATTAAAAATGAAAATCGTCCAGTGTGGATTTCGTTGACGAAAACGAAAAACCACAACGAGAAAAACGAAAAAATGTTGACTGTTTATAATTGATATTGAAATTGGCACATGCACGTGTTTATGCATTTTATTAATGTGCAATATACACATCTGACAGAAGAAACCATATGGATAAAAATAAAAGTTTGTTTTAAAAAGTTTTTTGTTAATCGAGGTTTAAAATATTTGTATATTTTTGTATATATGAATTCTGTTAATAACTAATAGGCTGTTTTTTTAAACGGAAACTTCAACGAAAAAGAGTGCAATAAGATATAAAAACAAAAACTAAAAAGTTTTAAAAACTGAAACGCAAAGCTAAAACCAAAAATATTTCAAATTAAATCCACTTTTCTTTATTTTGATTGGAGACGTCTTTCTTATGTAGACATCTCTGGCTTATCAAAAATCAAAACACTTACTCATTGAAATATAGTGGGCACAGTAGACAGTACCTCCAAAATAAAGAATTTCGGGAATCGAGAAGGAGGTCCAATGAACTCACGAATAATTTCGTTATTTGTTCTTTGTCTAAGTTTTGGAAAAAACAGTTGAAACCTGGAAATAAAAGTTGATGCAAGTGTTATTATTAGAAAAACGGATGGATTTTTAAATATTTTATTAAAAATAATTTTTAGAAACTCTTCAAAATATTTTAAGTTGTTGCGTACAAATTTGTGTGTACAATTATTTCCATAGAATAGTTTTTTCAGAATCAATCTTTTTCAATGCATAAAAATATTTAAAAACAAAATGAAAGTATTCAATCAGAGATATAATAAACCGTAATTATTTAACTATATTGTGAAATGAGATTGAATGTAAAATATTCAAACTTACTTTCAAAAAATAATGAAAAGAGTAGATAAAATGAATCGTAAAAATTGTTGTCCTTTGAAGTTAACTTTTGCCTCAGCCGTTGCTGAATATCCAAGTAGTCGAACATCAGGGAGCATGTGACAGAGTAATTAAGATTCTTTGTAAATGAAAAGTTGAATTATAAATAAATCCCACTGTTATCATAAACATTTTTATGTAATAAAACGCGGTTCTTTCGTAAGTTTGTCAATATCTAACTTGTTCCAGCATATTCTCAATTTTTAATTATCAAGTTGTCCAACTAAAAATTTTACCACTTAGTCATATAATTAAAACAAATTATGTCAGTTTTTACCATTTTATAACCTATAATAAGAAAAATAATTGTTTTTCCATTTTTTATCACTGCGGAAATTAAACCTTTCTTGTTTCATAGCCAAGGTACATGTAAATAATAAACATCACTTTTTAAACGTCAGTTATTCAAATGAACTTTATGTGTTTAATAAAGTAACATAAAAATAAATCTTCGGACTAAAGCTTCAGTAAAAATGACTTTATGAATTTCACACATGAAATAGTATAAAATGCAGCACTAGCGTGTCATTTTAGGCTGTAAAACCTTTTCCTAAATTACAAGCAAATAATGTTATAAAGGTGAACTATCAAAAAGCGTTTTCATGCTTGCATATCTGTTTCTGGGGTTATGCAACTACAGATTTTTATCAATGCTTATAACAACTTCATATGTTCGGTTATTTGTTGAATTTTTTGTTTAAAAATTTTGTTATTGAGTTTTTGATAATTTCCTATTTCTTAAGCTAAAACTTTGTATATATGTTCTGTTCAGGACCAGATTAAGCTTTTAGCAAAATTCATTAAAAAAGAATACAAGAGAACATTCTCAGTTTAGAAAAAGTTAACTTCTCTTTTTTAATTAAATTATTCAAATAACTTTAGTTCGTGAAAAAAAAATGTTTATTACTAACTTTCTGACCCTATTTGAATCGATAGCGGTTACGATAAAAGTTTATTTTGTTTGTCAATGTATTAAAAAGATGAAAATCAACGTCTTTACTAGAAATCTCTATTTAAAAAAGCTTTTCAATTACTAGCATCAAAATGGACTGATGCAGTATGCAAAGGCTCGCCGACAAAAGGGCGCAGGCAAACAAAGCGCGTACAATAAGGGTAAAAAGCAAATAGGGGCAAGACAGAAAGAGCGTGAGTCATAAGGGCGCCATTTCTGAAATTTGCATAATACTTTTAATCACATATTGTCTACGTTCATTTATATAAATGCGCAGACAAAAGACTTTTATCATTATCACATTTATTACACTGCGCCATCATTGCTGCGCTCTTTTTGTCCGCTTCGTTTCTGCTGCACACTTTTATCGTGGAACCGTATGCAAACAGCCGCTCAAAACTCTAAATTTTTTATCTGAAAATTTCTGAGACTTTATTAAGTGATTCTGATGGATTTGAACAAAATTGCAAAATCACCAATAGTACTTTCGTAAAGAAACAATTCTTTACAGAATGCTTGTATCTATTAAACTGATTATTAAAATGAAAACATTTTTTAACGTTTTCAGATACAATCTATATTTTGACTAGATTTGCACTAGAATGTTTATTAAACTTGTCTTTTCAAAATGTTACTAAGACTCGAACTGTCCGAAATAATGAAACGATTCCGAGTACTTCACTTGGTTGCACTCGGATTTGAGAAACCTTGTTATAAATATTTTACTTTGAAAGACTCCGTGATGATTGCAGTCTGTACTACATCTGGTTGTCCCGGGCAGTCGTCAGTGAATCTTTTCCATGATGTATAAACACCATAAAGAGAAATATCTAGCAAACAATCCCCAAACATGTATCTGTTAAAGTTATTTAATCTGTACCTGTCAAGTTTCACACCATTGTTAATAGCTATGCGTTGGATTAGGTCACCCACATAAAATTGTTTGTCGTTTTTTGCGGAAAAATCGTTGTCGTTCCTAGATTGATTGTAGTTTGAATTGCCAGGAAAATATTTGATGACATCAATAGTGTAATAGTATTTGCACTTTTGAATATGTCTATAACCTGGTGCATTATTGAACAAAATAAATTAAATTGTCAATTTATACCATATTATAAATTAAATTACTATGTACAGTTTAACTGTTGATTAATTCTTTTATCAGTCAAAAAATATATTAAATGTTTAATTAGAAAGATTCTTAGGTTCATGAACTCAATCTAACAAAATCTTATTAGCTAATAGAGTGCAATTTGAAACCAGTGAAATAAAAGCAACATTTCAAATCGTGCAAGCCTACTGTGCTGTGGCTTACAAATTTGACTTTCAAATAAATCCATTTTTTAATTTGAAATCTGAAAACAAACTGTAATTAATATATTGATTATCAGTGATGGGTTAACTACCCAAAAAAAGTAGTGAACTACTGTAGTTAACTACTTGACGAAAAACAGTTAGTAACTTCTTTTTAACTACTTTCAAGAAAAGTAGTTATTAACTACTTTTTAATAGTTAACTATTTTTTAACTATTTTTTAACTACTTTCAATTAATATTAATAAAAAAAACCCCTCTGAAAATTTTTTGTAAATTTATTAACCAGCATATATTTTCTTTTTTAATAAACGTATTTTTTAAATGTGTGTTTAAGACGATTTCTTAAAGAAATCATTTTATTGGTATAATCATCAAACAATCTACAGCGTTTATCAGTTAGAATTTGTCCAGCAACACTGAAAGACGCTCAACCACTGCAGAGCTAGGTAATGTTGAATTTATTTCAATGAAACTTGCACATATTGATGGATAGGAAAATAAACTTATAATATTCTTAGATGGGTTAGCAAAGTAACTGTTGAATTTATCAGCCAACACACGATCTGAAGAATTTTGAATATTTTTCGGGTAATCATACAAATTGTCAGTATTTATTAGCTGAGGTTCGCATTCCTCAGAAGACGAAGGTACATGACTCACTGGTTTGCAATCTGCGTGTATGTAAATAAGTAAATAATAATTTTTGTATTTACAGTTTAGAAAGTTTGTTTTAAATTGTGGAATTAACATAGAGGCAAGCAGATACTCATCATTTTCTAAAATTTGTCCAAATCTTTTTTCTATACCATCAGTCAGTGCTTGCAATAAAAGTTGAACAGCTTTATCTGTCTGTACACAGTGCAATTTTTTGTTAATTCTAATGATTGTTGGTACAATGTGACCTGTGTATGAATTTTCACTCTGAATGATATCCATTGCAGTTACTATCGGTTTCATGGCATGGAGAAAAGACTTCAAAAAACTAAATTCATTTTCTGTAAATAAAGCTTGTCCTAATTCTTTCTGACAACTACAAATTTTGTCGAATCCTTTGTCAACAACTCTTTCTACAGCATAAAATTCTGAACACCACCTTGTAACATTTGGTTTAATAAATGTAGAACCAGTAATGTCTTGTACAATATTAGCATTTTTAGTACTTCGATGTACAGAGTTTGACAGTGATGTTACCTTTGCTTTTATATCAAATAATTAATCAGACGCAAAAAAATAATAAACAAATTTGAAAATAAGGATGTGCAATTAAAAGGATAAAAATTAATTTTGAAAGAAAATATGTTCAAGTAGTTAAAAAATAGTTAACTATAATTGTTACTAACTACTAAAAATGAGTTAACTAGTAGTTGATAACTACTAGTAATAAAATAGTTATTAACTACTTTTTAACTACTAGTTAGTAGTTATTAACTACTAGTTATGTTATCTATTTGTAGTTACTAACTACCCATCATTGCTGATTATTAACAACCAAAGTTCTCACGATATCATATGTGAAAAAAAAGGCTTCGCCTTCTATCACCATGACTTGACTACTACATGTTCAAAAATAGAGATGTTTATAACACATACCAGTGCGGATTCAGAAATTATGAAAATAATTCATACACTTTTAGATCAAAAATTGAATAACACCTGTCTTTTATACTTTTTCCAAATACATACATACAATGAGATGTATTGAATAATAGGACAAAAACAAATACCAACCAATAGGTGTAAAAGGCCAGCTGGACGTCCCTATAAAATAATTTGGTTCCGTTCGAATGTCACAGCGATCTTGTTAATGAAATTTTAATTATTTTTAATTTCATTGTATCTCTCAATTATGCACACTAAGCAGGAGTCTTCTTATGTTTTTATATATATAAGGGTATATAAGATATCATACAACCAATAAATTATAACGTACTACATTGAAAATAGTAAACGATTACTAAAAAATAACTTTTTATGTTTTGAATAAAACTGAATAAAAAGTTAGTTTAAAGCTTTGTTTTCTACATAAATAAATAAATTATATATATATATATATATATAATTCAATTTAATAATCTTTTTGTTCAGTAGATAAGCACATGCGGGATACATATGTTATTCACTAGTAGACCTGATGCTCGCGTTTGTAGGGCCACCCGGATCAAATAAATACAAAATACTTCTTAATAAAATGAAAACAGACCTAAGGTAACAAACAAAAAGTTTCAAAAGCCCACACACATACATACACGCAAGTATAACATCAAGTATAATCATATGAAAACATACAATTGTGCTGAAATAAAAGTGATAAATAATTGCTTACTTAATAGCAATTAATAAATAAAATACTGTGAATAAATAAAATGAATAAATACAGTCAATCGTCTGTAAAATGACCAGATAGGATAAGATGGCGACTAGCAATTTTGAAAAACCTAGAGAGGGAAAGTCTTTTACATGCACGGTAAGGTATCCCAAAAACGCATAGAAGAAAATAAGACTGGGTTAAGAAAAAAATTAGACTTTGGTTTAAAGAGATAAGAATCAGGATTATAACGCAAAATATTTCTTTTAGTGTTTTTAAATAAAATAACTTGACTGTAGAGAATTGCACGATAGTTTTACTTATATATTTTAAAAAAGAAAACAAGTAAATAAATAATGTGCAATTGATATATGTTAAGAATATTTGCCAATTGATAACAATGGTCTATATGATCTATTAATTTTAATTTGAATAATATCCTAAGAAAAATTTTTGAGCTAAAGTTAAAGTCTGAAGATGAGATTTACGGGCTAGACTCCAAACCGTAA